AGAATAGGCTTCAACAATCAGATAATGCCACTAAGTCAATAGCTGGGAAATGTGAGAGGGACCAGAATGAACTTAGAACTGAGCTTCAAAGATTACAGGAGGAGTTACAGACCAGGGTTGCCAAACTGGAAATGTCTACCGAGTTCATGGCAGAGATTAATCGCAACCTTGATTCTAAATTTCAATCTCTGGATGGCTATTTCCAGGCCACCCAAATGCTAGCTAGGGATGAACGTATTACTCGTCTAGAAAATCTTACAGGAGAATTGTCGAAGCAAACCTCGGATTCCGCATCATGCCTTGAATCCCTTATGGTGGATGAGATTAAAGCCTCTGGTGAGGAAATTCTGACCCGGCTGACTTATCTTGAACAAGAAGACACTGACTCACTCCGATCCAAGATGCACAATTCGAGAAGGTATTTCAATCACCCTAAAGCGGTTACACACACACCTTTAGTATACCCGGCCATGGCGGTGGACAGGCAACCATCTAAAAACCACTCCCAGGGGCAGACAGCATATACATGGCAGCCAACCCAATTAAAGGATCTTAGGCATATTAAGGAATCGGTTGTTTCGTATGGTCTTCATAGCCCATATGTAAAACAGCTATTGCATTCATTTCATAGCCCATAGGTAAAACAGCTATTGCATTCATGGGTTTAACAGGGTGACGCCCGCAGATTGGATAGGGTTAGCTTCAGCTGTCCTCGATAATTCCTGCTTAATTGAATGGAGAGCATTGTTCAGGGAGGAAGGAGGAATCCTAGAACGGCAAGCCACCATGGACGGGGTTGATGCACCCCTCCAAAAAATCCTAGGAGAAGGTATTTATTCTGACCCACAGATTCAGGCTGAATATGACGACCATACGCTGTCCCTATGCAGAACAGCAGCACTAAATGCATGGGACAAGGTTCGTGAGTCAGGAGAACAGCTAGAAGCTTTTACAAAAATAGAACAGGGACAAACAGAACCATTTAAAGACTTCTTAGACAGATTGACCAGAGCAGTAGACAAACAGGTAACAGATCCAACAATAAGACATCCAATTGTGTATAGTTTAGCTTATCACA